CCTACAGAAACCAAAACAATTGGATAGAAGAGAAAAACAATTTTACAAAAAAAAAAAAACAAAAAACAAAAAATATCATTCAAAATACAAAAGTTGCTGTAAACATTTTATAACCCCAAGAAGTTTAAGTAATCCTGAATTACCTAAAAATTCAAGACTTGGGTGATATTACCAAAACATATTAAAGTGCACAAAAAATGGCACAAGCAATGTCTTTTGTTTAAAAACGTCGTAATTGATAGTTATAGACATAATTTTGTAGGACTCGTTGAGAATTGTTTTTTCAAACTATAGGATCTTGAGCAAGTATCTAACACCATAGTTGAAATCTGACCAATTAGTATCACTTTTGACAATTTCGGCCTGCCATGTAGTCCTCCGTTATGCATGTTGCATCTGATTTTTTAACTGAGGGGAAGGATTGAAAGCTCGTCTATGTAACACACACATATATAGGTTTACAGATATTGCTTTTTGTGGTTTATTTTGTGAGTATTAACCTTATTTTATGCTTTTGGGCAGGTATGTTGGTCTCAAAATACAGGAAGAGAGAATGGACGAGGGTAACGATGCCTAATCAAATTTGCAATTTTATAGTGATTCTTGTCATAAAAGGCCTCATGAAACTACAAACTGACAGAATCTAAGAAGGTTAAAAACTCACAGAGAAGAAGAAGTACTATATAGGACAAGCTATACCTCATCATACAACTGTGTAGCTGAGCATTTTGTATTCCTAAACAACTGATCTTAACAGAATGCCTAACAGAATATTTAACTAACTTCTAATCTGTTGCATGTGTTATGATAAACTAGCTAGAGTTTCCAAAGCTTCCCTGCTTTTTCAGCTCGTCTATGGTGGGTATACGAGGCATTTACAAAGTATAATTACTATGCTTTCAATCTCCAATTGTTCTTCTTTTTCTTAGTAATGTAGTCTTTACTGAGCCGCCAAAAATAGAATTTTTACAGTGAGAAAATAAAGTAAAGCCCTCTGGTTTTGAAAGCTAATGGAAAATGCAAACAATTACTTTGGTTGGAAATTAACTTAAGCTGCATGGAATATCTATTTCTTTTCTTTTATTGTCTATTTCTTTTTTTTTCTTTTTTTTCATTTAGGGTTTCTGCTGCATGACATGATGATAGAGTGGATTCTCGAGCTTTCTGCAATATATATTGGACTCATTTTATTAAATCCAACTCCAGTTTCTTGATAGATTCTTAATTTTCGTCTCCTTTGTGATTTGAGTCAGCATCAATTCAAATTTTTCATCTTAACACATTAAGAATTTCGTGAAGCACTGGATCTGATCAGTTTTACGTCACAAGGTAAACAAACCATTCCATAACTTAAATCAGTTAGGAGTGTAATATCAATTAGTTACATTTCATCCTCTTTTTGGTCTAGTGTTCAACTCAAGGACAATGTTATATGAACTTAAAACATAAAGCCCTCTGGTTTTGAAAGCTAATGGAAAATGCAAACAATTACTTTGGTTGAAAATTAACTTAAGCTACATGGAATATCTATTTCTTTTCTTCTTTTTTTTCATTTAGGGTTTCTGCTGCATGACAGGACAGGATGATAGAGTGGATTCCCGAGCTTTCTGCAATATATATTGGACTTATTTTATTAAATCTAACTCCAGTTTCTTGATAGATTCTTAATTTTCGTCTCCTTTGTGATTTGGATCAACATCAATTCAAATTTTCCATCTCAACGCATTAAGAATTTCGTGAAGCACTCGATCTGATTTGTTTACGTCACGAGCTAAACAAACCATTCCATAACTTAAATCAATTAGGAGCGACAATCGTTTCATATCAGTTAGTTTTTTTTCTCATATCTATTTATATCCATATATAGGTTAATACTCCGTTTAGAACGATAGAAAAGTGAGAGGATGAAATGTTGGCAGGATAGAAAGTTAAAGGGATAAATAAAATATCATGTTTGGTAAAGAAAGAAAGTAAGAAAGATGGAAAAGTTGATGTATTAACTTTCCTTCCAACTCACCAAAATCAATCCCTCCAAAATTAGAAGTAAAGTGGATGGAAAGTTAATTATTTGTGTTGAGATGTATCTTATTTGTCTATATATCTTATGTATACATTAATTTCATATAAAAATACAATGGTAAAATATGTATATATATTTTAAAAAAATTTTAAAAATTCATTTTTAAAAAAATAAAAAATAAATAAAAATTTTAAATTTTAAATTAAAAAATATATATTTTTTCCATCTTAACTAAGGGTGAACATTTTCGACTCAATACGATGACACGACTCGAACTCGATACGAAAATAAATAGATCATCTTGCAATTCGACACGACACAATTTATTAAATGAGTTAAATTAGTTTGACTAATATTCGACACAAACTCGTAATGATTCAACACAAATCTGACACGACACGACTCTACTCTATTGTCAACCCTAATCTTAGCTAGCACAAAAAAAAAAAGTCATTTTTATTTTCCATCCATCCAACCAAACACAAAAGAAAGAAAATATATATTTCCTACTTTTCATCCTTGAAAAATAGAAAGTGTATCCCTCCTACTTTTCATCTTTCCTACTTTTTATCCTCCCTACCAAACGGAGCATAAGAGTTTGACTAACATTAAAATTTTTTCTCTCTTATCTATCTATATATAGGTTATATATATAGTAATATTAAAAATAAAAAATAGTAACATTCAAATACAAAAAAAAAGTTATCATTTGGACAAAAAAAATAATACATTTAAACACAAAAAAATAGTAACATTTAAACATAAATAAAATTGAAATATTAAATATTAATATTTTTAAAAAATAACAATAGTAACATGTTCAACAAAAATTATAACAAAAATATTAACATGCTTAACAAAAACTGTAGCATACTTAACAATAATTTTTTCTCTCAAATTCACATAAAAAAAATACTAATATTAAAAAAAATAGTAACATTGAATATTTATATTTAAAAAAATAATAATAGTAACATACTCAAGAAAAACAGTAACATATTCAAAAATAATAATACATAAACAATAACATACTCAACAAAAATAGTAACATGAATAATAATATAATAAAAAAATAGTAACATGAATTTGAATATTACTATTCAAATTCATAATAACTTTTTTTTGTATTTGAATATTACTATTTTTTTTAATGTTACTCTCTCTCTCTATATATATATATAACCTATATATGGATATAGATAAATAAGAGAGAAAAAAAAAATTAATGTTAGTCAAACTCTTAATTTATATATGGATATAGATAAATATGAGAGAAAAAATTAATTTCTTTCAAGAAATGGTATTTTTGAGATTAAAAAAAAGACTTAAATCATTACATATAATTTTAAACATGAACTTAACCCTGTATACGTTTCCTTGCAAGACTTATCTCCAAACAAGTACATCTAGGAGACTCACTTCCAATTATCGCAACAAAAAAATTACATTCAGAAACACCCAATGGTAGTCAAACACAGAACGCTTAAGATTGCCCCAACATTCAAATCATGGACCCTGGTTTTACTCAAAAGCCCAATTTACAGGCACTGTCACAAAAATGGTTTTTGACTAAGGGCTAGAACTAATAATCAAGTAAAACTTGAGTATTTTTTAAAGATCGTTATGTATAAATAGTTATACGAATCAGCTTATTTATGTATAAATTCAACTTAATTTAAGTTCGAATTCAGCTCGATTAACACCTCTACCAAAGAGTACAACCTGGCCGTTGCGTACCTCTAGTAAGCTTTCGTCTTTATACCATGTGAGGATAGTTTCAGTATCTAATGTTAGTTTATTAGTATATACAAAACCCTTAACATCACAAGATTGGGACAAAAAATTCTGCACCCAAAGTAATTAGGCCAATACTTTGTTTGGTTTGATGTGACTTATCATTGCATTAGTTCCCAAAAGAAGGCCAACTGCCTAACCGGAAGAAGAGAGATGGTCACCTGTCACCCATAAATCCATGCTCTCATTATTAGGTCTGGCCATCCAAAGTACCTCATCTTAATAAATCTACAAAGCTCATCCATATTTTTTCAACCAAAAGCATGAAAGTGTGAAAGAAGAAATCTCCAAAGTGATATAATTCTTTTCCAGGGAAGGAAAATATACAGTACTGAAACTAATAAAATGATGTTTTCAAGCAAGGCAAGACAGGACGTACAAAAAAAGGAAGATTGAGAAATGCATTAAGATGACGCAAATATTCCCCTTAGCTAAGATTTTAACATTCTATCAGCAATGTGCTACCAAAATCAGTAAAAACCAAAAGACATAATTGCAACCATGAGTAAAATCTCTATCAAAAGCAATACCCAAGTAATAGTCACAGCCTTCTTTGTTCATGTTTTGCTTAACAGCCGCAAAGCTGTGTTTCTTCTCCAAAAAGTTAGCCTCCTCCAGACTTGAGTGTATTGCTCAACCTATAGAATTCACCAAAAAAAGAATAATAATTCCAGAGGTTTAATCACGATATAATAGTTGTAACATTTCCAGTTCTACAATTGCGGCAACAATAACAATAAATTCCAAGGAGGCTAGGGAGGCCAAATGAAACAGAGATGACAACGAACACTGCTTGCTTTTTTTAGACAGAGGACAACAAAGGAAACAGAGATGATATTAACTCGGTCTTCAATAAAATTACAGGCACTGCTAGTCATTTCAACATGTCACATAGAATGAATATTAAGCTTTTTGATTCCCCCATCAGTTTAGGAAAACCAATTTCTAGTGACATCCAAAGGCCATTTTCACACTTAATCCATTACATATAATCCATTGTTCCATACCAAGTCAACTAAACACAGCAAAACATAAAGAAAGAATCTAATTCTAAAAAAATTAAAAACGGAGAGTCAAGCACATAGACCACTTATAATGCAAGCAGCATTTGGAATGCTATAATTTATTGTCAATAAAATCTAGAAGTAGCAATGCATGAACACATCTAAACCATCAAAGAATCAGCTTACCAGTCCAAGCCCTCAAAGAGACCTTCTCCTTTAAGGGCAGAGGTTTTAAAAATAGCCCATTGACGGTTTTTAATCTTGTGCAACTCTAATGCCTCCGCTACCGCAGCATCATCAAGTGCACCAGGAAGATCCTGTAGACCAGAAAATAAAAAATAAGAATAAATCTTGTTCGAACTCGTTGAGGCATGAAGCTGAAACAAAAAAACATTCTTATAACCACAAGTCAGAAAGTAATACTTCTCATTATATATGGAACAACGGTCTTAACATAGAATGAATAGGAGGGAAAACAGATAAACCTGTTTGTTTGCAAAAATAAGTACAACAGCACCTTTTAACTCTTCCTCCTGAAAAATGCACAGATTTAAATTTGCAATCCTAAATATTAATTTACAGTTTGAAACAAGTGCCATTCATAATAATATAATATGGTAGAAGTTGGCAGCAGACTACCTCCAAGATTGCATGAAACTCCTCCTTAGCAATTACCAGCCTATCAGTGTCGCTTGAATCAACAACATATATTATTGCCTGAGTATTTGGAAAATAACATCTCCAATATGGCCTAAGATAACAAAACAAATCAGCTAATGAGCTTATATTCTTTGACAAAAAAAAAATGAGCTTATGATTTTGACACAAAATAACATTCAGGAATCAATCAGATATTCTGCAAACAGACCAAGTTTGCAGAAAAGGTGTTCATATGACACATAAGAAAGGAATGACATCCTGCGAATTCCCATTGTGCATATGAAAATTCAAAAGTGACAGCACAAAAATTTTGGAAAAATATTTCATGCTACCTTCATAGCACCACATGGAATCTCCAGCATACATAAGCAATTCAATTAAAACTATCAGAGCATCCAACCACTAAAAAGTTGACAATGAACGGAGAGGCCCCTTAAGCATATAAACAACATTAGGTGGTCCTAATCATTTAATGTGATATACAAACTCTCTTTACACCCTCCTTTGCATGGAACCCGGGCTCGCATGAGGACTAACAAACATACAAACAAACATGCATATTGAAAAATTCAAATGGGTTAGAGACTTTACCTATTAACCACTCAATGCCCAGCTCTAATACCATGCTAAAGCATCCAATCAAAAAGTAATCGACAACAAGTGGAAAGACCCATATAAACAAACCTTTGGGGCATGTTTAGTTTAGGTATTAAAAGATTTGATTGGATTAATTTAATCCGGTGATGATGTAATACCAAGTTTGGATTGGATTATAGCAATCCGGTATTAATTTTTCATTAATTCCGATCCGGTTCACTATTGTCATTTAACACCTAATATTATGTATAAATGAATACCATGTGGTAGGTGGTATTATTTTTAACAAGTCTAGTATTAAAAACACAATGACTTTATTACCCTTGCAAACCTAAGTTCACACCTTCATATAAAAGTTATACATTATGCAAACTCCTACCCTCAATATTTTGTTTGTCATTGTCAATTTAATAACATACACTATTACCTATGAAGCACGAATACTAGGCACGGGTATTGTATCTGATATGATACAAACATGAAGATATGGCAAAATTTTAAAATATAGGACACGGGTACGGCAAGGATATGATATATATATATATATATATATATATATATATATATATATAACCCTCTTACCTCCTCATAACTAAAAATAAAAAATCTCTTTTCAGCTCTCACTCCCCAAAAGAATCATTTCAACTCCCCAGATCCAAATCCAGAACCAATTAAAAGCACCACCACACCTTTCAACTCTCTAGACCCCACGCACCCCACCCTCAAAAAAAGTCATTTGAACTCCCTAACAATACCTTTGGTTCACAGAGAAAGTGAGAAACAAAGAGAGAAATCGAGTCTCGAGACTCCCTGGCGAAACCTTTCAGTTCCCAGACAGAGAGAGAGAAATCGAGATCGATCTGAAACTCGCAGCAGCAGATCTAAGACTCCAAAGTTGCTGGTTGGTCTTCCCTCTCCTTCTTTTCCTCTTCTCCATGTTACCGAAGCAAATTTGGTGGAGATTCAATCCCCACTTGTCGTTCTCTTCTTCTCCCTCTATGTCATGTTTCACACACAATGGAAAGTGGGAAACGAAGGCTGAAGCCTTCACAATTTGTTATTTCCAGCCCAAAACAATGTCCTCTTTTTCTTTTTTCTTTTTCGTTAAAGAACCCCTAAGTTTTTAAAATAAGAAAAGAATTTGTGTCATATCCCCACAAATCTGAACTGTATCCGGTTGGAAAAAATTCATATCTACCATGCTGGACAATTTCAGAGGAGTTGAACACGTGTCCGACACTGCCACGACGACCCCCCGACGACTATCTGTGGTTTATTAGACTATTACCTAATCCAAACATAAATTTGGTATTATAATTATAGATTTATACCTTATCCCAACCTTGATCCAAACTTGTTACACAAACTATATGATCATATATTCATGTGATGTAGGACAATTTTGTAAAATAAAAATAGAGACCGTTTAGGGGTTGTTCAGGGGTTATGAACAGTATCTGTGAACAGTAATGAGGCTGTGAACAGGAGCATGAACAATAATTTTGGCTAGGAATCACTTCTAGGGTTCCATTGGCATCACACCTAGAGTTAGAATTGCATCACACAACTCAAAAAACATATAATTACTGAAAATTATGAATATCTCTCTCCATCTATATTATTAAAAGTAACAATAACTATATATAGAGTTCTAAATACTTTTAATCCCAAAAGATTAAGATTTCAAAGTCTAAAACTACAAAAACACAAGGTCCCTAAAAATTAGAAAACTAAAATTAACTAGAAATAGAACTTTAAATTTTAGAATATTCAACGATAGAATTTGACACAATTTGAACCAAAAATATGACCTGATACAATAATGCTTGAAATTACAAAAATACCCCCGACACTAAAAAAGTTTAAAAGGACATATAACATACTAATAATAACAAATTGACTTAAAATAAGAATGCAAAGTTTCATATGGATCTCTGACTTGATAGAAAGTCAATTTCATTATCTTTCACATCTTCGAATTTGTATTTTTTTTAGCACCTTATGGATTGCATCATCATGTTAACATCATTTGTATGATTGGATGAAAACCAATTACCCGATCTCATCCTTTGTTTATACTCGAACCAAACATGTCCTTTGGGTTTTCCAAATCATTCAATGTAGAATATAATCTCTCTTTACAAATAAGTAAAACATCCCATATTTGTAGCCTTATCATAGCTATGCATTGGGCATTAGGCATTAGGCCAAGTAGTATTTTGCCTAACTTGTTTTTCAAACAGAATAAACTACTTGACATTCCACCAGAGGTGGAACCACAAACTAACCAAAGAAGTGGAAAGCAATGCAACATACCATTTTTGGACCGGAGTCATTGGAACATAGCATACATAGATTTTCATTTGTTTATTCAATTGAGCTTGGCTTTGTACACACAGAAAAAGGGGAACTACTGGTTGATTTTAAATAGTCCCCTCAAATCACTGAAAAAATGTGAATTTTAAATCGTTCAATTTCAAGGGTCACAACTCTCTATTTGTTATACTGATAGTAGTAACTCTCGAACCTTTGATTGCCTTCGCTCGTTCCCCCATGATACCACACTAACAATTCACCACTAAAGTGCTGGACAACAATAACATTGGCTAAGGAAATAATTTTCCAACTTATCCCATCAAAAAGAAAAAAATAAAAACAAATTCAAAACGAAAGAACACCCCCCCCCCCACCCAAAAAAGAAAAAGCCCCCACCAAGCCAGCTTGTATATTATTTCACTAATCACCAAAGGATGACTTCCAAAGAGAAACACATACTGATTCCAAGGCTATTGCATTTTCTCCTACATATCTAACGAAAGAAGAATGCCATCATATATGATCAAGGTTATAATTTCCAGGTCAAGTTCATCATCCAGACCACCGACGAAAATAAGGTTCATCATGTTACTCCTGAAGATCAAAAAATAATCATATCTCAACTACTTTTAGTTTCTTAACATGATGTTCCTTAGTTGCCAAACATCGTGTACCATTAAATATTGTCGGTCTAATGGTTGTATTGTACAATTTACCATTAATGTTTCAACTCAAGAGGTATACGCCGATCAAACAATATAACATATGCATTCCTTTACTTATTCCACCATGCTTTAGTTCCAAGTAAACCATCTCCATTCTCTCCCGCCTTGTGGATAATGAACTTAAATATTTGGAGTGTTTGCTCTTTTGATCTCTCTTGGTCTTTGGTATTTAAACCATCACTATTGAAATCTCTCTTTCTACTAAAATTACATTCTATATTTTCAGTTTAATTTGTACTTATATTAAATAAATTTTTATTCTAGATTAAATAATTTTTTATTCCAAAGTTTCCCTCCAAATTTTTTCTTTAGTATTAATTCATGCTTTATTATAGACCTTGTTGCATACGATTCTATGACATTTCAACTAAGACCTAAAGCATCTCATAAACTGTTTTTCTTTTTATTTTATTGTTGTTGTTGTTTGTTTTTTTGAGGGGAGAGCATGTTTGTCTTCGTTTTTCACCCTTTTTGAGAAAGTGTTCTTAGAGGTACCAGAGTGGCAATCAAACCAAAGCTATGAATCTATGCATTATAAGACACATAATCAATTTGCACAATCAGGTATACTTGAAGTAATAATCTTAGACAAACATGGAAAAGATCTCTTGTCGTCTTCTTTTACTATTCTCATTTTCAGTTCATTTCAGAAAGCAACAAACTACTCGTCCAACTGTAAAACAAAACTTGATTCAAGATTTAAAGCAAATAATGAAGTTGTACATCTCATGCAACTATTTCATAATGCAAATAGCTTCCATCTAAGTGTTATCTTTCAGCTTACCACAAATAAGTCCAATGGAAAAATTACCTGATACTAGTCTGCCCACCTGTATCAAACAAAACAAAAAAAAAAGATTATCAGAAAATAACACTCAATATGACTTTCCATTCTTATTAAGCTATTAACATGACTGAAAATAAAACTAATGCACATATAATCATAAAATTTCATTTATAACAAGAAACTATCCCAACTAATCCTATACATACACACGACTTTTTCCCCTTAAATGAGAACGATCAAGATTTGAATGAAAACAATTCGCATAACCTTATAAAATGGACAAATAAATTAGAACATACTAATGGAAGCTAATAAAAAAGATGCTTCGGACAGTGTAGCAAGTAAGCATCCTCAAGAAATCGGTGTCTTTATTGATCCACAAGTAATTCGAAATAGGTGCCCCATCAAGTAAGAATACACTCATATCAATTACGTTACCAAACAAAATGACATGAGAATATATAATATGCTACCATAGTACCATCACACGTAACTTGTTCCAAATATGCCCTCACAACATAATATGTTTCACTAATCGTCATCACGTCAAAGGTAGGCAAGCTTCAAACGTCGATCCAACACAAACACAACTCCCAAGAAAACAAGAAACAAAGATCCATAGACCTGACACGAGATTCAAATGGTGGAGTTAGTGTTACACAAGGTCTATTGGGTCAATAGAGTGTCACCAAAAATATCCAACACGCCATGTATTAGAACCAAGACACACAAGGGTGTTTGTTTTTGTATTTGTATGTGTACACGCGTGAGAGAACATATACACACAAGCGACTCAATATCAAAATACACCTATATGAAGCGTGGTAACTTTGCATCAGTAAACTTCTGTGGGATTGATTTTGGCTACGCCAAATGTAATTTTTCCTCAAATACCAGTCGTGATTCAAAATCTCAAGTTGATGAAATATTGCTGCTGTAATTCATAAAGCCAGAACTCGCTAAATAGAATGCATGTAAAATAAAACTCTAACAGGAGAACCACACATTGTGCACATGCTGAGCTTGAGTTAAAATTTTCAAATAGTGGATCTACACAGTGGCTTTACTTCAACAGCAACCATTTAAACGAGGTATATGCTACTAAAATTCAATAAATCCAAACAATACTAAATTCCTCAAGACTTCCAGAAACAGAAGGATAAAAAGTATTCCGCGTACACTATAACTAATAATTTAGTGATCGAAAGATCTAAAAATCCCGGCTAGAGATCATTGTCCTGGTCATCCAAATTTGAACCAAACAAAATTTCAAGCAATTTTTCACTCCATGCTACAGATGCCAGATACCAAGTTTACTTCCCCTGTTGTCCCTCTAATCTGTGGACACTCTTTGTGAAATTATAACGCCTTACCTTCCGAGAACTGATGGCAGTCACAACTCACATAACCTCCAAACAAAACAATAAAATTTCTGAATTGCCCACAATTAGCAGCACAGTAGACAGTAAGCAACCTTTGCCAGCAAAATATCAGATCACAAATGCTTTATCAAAAACTTGTCTTTTCATTCAAGCAATTGTCTCAGCATATAACAGATCATAACACTCTCTTGGAAGCCAAACCACGACTAAATCTACAGCACATGCAAAATATCTCTAACTGTAAGGTCTTTAAATTAGGGTGTTATATGAAAAGTTAACCCCTCAATACAGTTAACTAAATTTATCATTTCGAAAAAACATAATCAATAACCCAATATAAACTTTCTACTTATGTTATACAAGAAAAAATATATCTAAAATTCAGATATTACTTTCATAAAACGAACACATTAAGTTAGATCATTTGTAACTGATTGACATACCCAGATCCCAAACTTGAAACTTTATATTGTTGTATTGTACTGTTTCCACATTAAACCCAATCGCTGCATCAAAACAAATAAACATGAGTAATTTACATATTCCATTATACGAAAAACCAAACTGGAACACTAGTAACCGCATTCTACTTCAAAATTGTGGAAAAGTTAGTGCAAGAAATTCTAATTCTATTAAGCCTCGAGTCAAATTTTGGATGAAGATCTATTATCCCAAATTTCATTTTCTTTCCACTCCCTTTCCCTTGACATCCTCAGTAACCACACTGAAAGTATTAAAAAATTATAACAGAACAGAGAAAGAGTACCAACTTGGAATAGTGGATACAACTTCACCCATCTGAAGCCGATCTGAGCAAACAAAATCAAGACATCAAATTATCAAAATTGGAAAAAAAAAACCCCCAAAATAAAATAAACCAAATCACGACATTGGATCATCAAAAATTCCATAAAACCCAGAACACAGAAGCACAGAAATCCACGTGTAAGGGCAAAATTTGGTAAACTCACATAAAATAGTTGTCTTCCCGGCATTGTCGAGACCGAGAACGAGGATCCGAGCTTCTTTGTTGCCAAATAGTGACGAGAACAATCTTGTAAACACTATACCCATTTGCGAATGAGAGAGGGAGAGAGACAGAGAGAAGTGAGATCAGATCTGAGAGGCAGAACCCTTGTCCTCCCTGCAAAAACCCCAACCAAACAGCACCGACGGATCAAATTCACACACGAAGAATTTCCATGAATGCATGTCAGTATATGAAATTTATATGAACAGAATACGTGCCACATAAAAGGAGAGGGTCTGCTTGAGAAAATGGAACTTCGCGTGGGGGTTGATTTGTGAAATTAAGAAGAAATGGGGTGGGAAAGTTTAAGGTATGAATGGAAACTGAGAACAAGAGAGACTGGAGCTCTCTTCTCTCATAGGCCTCTTTCGCTTTGGAAGAATCGAAGAAATTGGAGAAATAGAGAATGAAGACAAAAAGGAAAGAACCAATAAAATAATTTGATTTATATAGCATTGCTCGTAAAATAATTTATTTTTGTTTTTTTCTCGTTAAAAAGAGTGAGGATAAAGAACAACGTTCACCGACCACAGCAATAGGCTTTAACCGGTGGGTTCATAAGGAGAGCGTTCAACGACCACATCAATAGGCTCTAACTGGTGGGATCATAAAATCCCTAATCGGGTCTAAAACACCTCTCGGGACTAGATCTAATTAGGTTAGTATAACAACAAACCACTATATCCCCATAGAGACTCCAATGCGAGGTTGTAATAAATTACACACATAACTAGAAGAAAATTTGTTTAATCAGTTATTTTTTGTTTTTATTTTTTAAAAATTGAGAATAAAAATTAGATAAATTTGAGTTAAGTTTGATAACATTTTTATTTTTATGTTTTTAACAAAAAAAAAAACAATTTTTTTTTTTGAAGTTGAAATAGAAAACATGTTTCATCGCAGTTGTTGTTTTAAGAAATCTAAAAACTAAAACAAAAAATATATTTTGTAACTATTTTATTTTATGTCATATATTTTACATTTATATTAATTCATACTAAAATATATCCATCTCCCCATTTTCATTTTGATTTCTGCCCTAAATGCGGGGTGCAAGTTAGATGGTCATATACCATTGAGTAATACTAGATAGACTTAAAAGTTATATTTAAAAATTAGACTTGATAATCTCAACAATTGAATAGGTAGTGAGTTTCAATAAATGTTGGGACCTATGAAATCAATGATTATAATTATCAAGTCTAATTTTTAAGTCTGTAACATTACTCTATACCAATAGGTAATTTTAACATTGATCCTATTTTCTTCTCACTTCATTCCACCTGTCCAATTGACAAGCTCACTTGGATTAAAACAATCTTAACCACAGAAATTTCTACTTCTACAAAGTTAGTTCTAGACCGATTATACCTTCTCTAATTCAGTATTGTGTTTTTCTAACCGGTCTTTCAACTCTTTCTTCAACCCTTGGATCAGTCTCTCCTGTTTCTTGATAAGTTCAGTATTTGTCTTCAACTCTTCTTCCATCATAGCAATCTCCTATCAAAATATAGTGAAGTTTTTTGGCAGCATCCATAAAATCTCTGGCATGTCTCTTCACATCAACTGAAGCAATCAAAATGGAATTGACTTTATTGACACAAGCCACCAAGCATAACAAATGCATATAACACTCTGCTGAGCACATAAGTCAAGAGAAAACAAAAAGATAAAAGAAAAAGACGTTTAACACCACCAATAGATAAAAAAACGTTTGCAAATACAACACAGAGATGAAGAAAACAATATTGTCGATGCAAATTTTCAGTAATATGTCACTGCTATTGCAAGACGGAACATGGTTGAACAACACAAGCAGCACTGGACATTGTTTTTTACTTAAAACATGCCTAATTTTACAACCATGACTCACATAGGGCCGCATCAACACTGAGTAAAATGTTTTTGCCAAGCCCCTTGGATACCTCACTACACTTCCCAGATTAACTCGAATAATAAACAAAGTTATCAAGGCAAGATTTTTGTGATGGGAATGATGGCATACATCTAGATGGAAAATGTTATGAAAGGATTCTATGCGAGACTTTCCAAAAAAATCTTAAAAAAAAAAGATATATACTAAGTTAAAGCTATTTTTTGTATTTTTAGAAATAACTTTTTCAAAATTTAAAAATTACTACAACCACGAAGCTCACCACACTCACACACATCACATTTCCACCACATCACCACTTTACTCCCACTACCACATCCACCACACTCCCACCAACACCAACACCATGTCCATGACACCACCACCACTATACTTCCACCACCTCCAACACCACCACCACACTTCCACCACCTCCAACACCACCACCACCACACTTCCACCACCACCAACCCCACTACCAGTACCACCACACTCCCACCACCCTTCCACCATCATCATTCTCATCACCAAACTTTCACCACTCTCCCACCATCACATTTATATTTTCATTATTTTTTGGATTACTGTTCAAACAAGTTTTAAAATTTTTTATTTTGTTGTACAGTTTTTGAAATTATATAATTAAACAAATTCTGTGATATAAAAACAGTTTTCTAAAACTCTTATAAAAAAATAATTTTCAAATATTATTTTTTAAAACACAAACTAAACAGAGCCTTTGTTGTGTGTTCTTTTTTTGTCAAATGACAATTGACATCCCGAAAGATTATAAAATTCTTGATTTTCACTTTTAAAGATTAATTGTTTGAAAACACACCCTCAATAAAATTAATTAATAGCAATGTGATCTCAACTATAACGTCCGTTGCAATTCCTGTTAGATTAACATACACGTGAAACACATGAAAAACAGAAGAGTCATAATCCAACAAAAGTCATCACGTGCATCTCGCGTGGTAGTCAATTTGAAGGAAATTGCAATGCACGGGGTTCACATTGCTACCAATTAATTTCATTGAGGGTGTAATTTGAAATAATTAATTTTTGATAGTATAATTTGAAATTTTTTTAATCTTTTTGGGTACAAATTGCTATTTTTCTCTTTTTTTTTTGTGTTCAATTTTTCAATTTAATTTATTTTTAACTTTTGAAATAAAAAAGACATTTTGACTTTTTTATCTTGTGAATGCTTTGGTCCAATGATATTTTTTTCGATGTGTCTTTGGTCTAATGATATTCTTTATCTTGTGAAAGTTGTCTTCTTAAAGTCAAGAGTTCAAGTCTCATTCCCCATTCCCTCTTCCCCTTCCCAAAAAAAAAAGAGACATTTTGACAACAATTCTGTTTTTAAACAAACTAGAAATCGAAAATACCGAAATATATTGCTAGGAACAATTTTTTTTCCTTCCAATTTAATCCCATGAATTGAAAGGCTTGATTGAGCTACGTCACTAGAATATGTTGCATTGGCTGAAGTGTTTCCTTGAAACAAGGTACAACACAATTTTTGTTGTTATGATAATGAATAAATTTAGTACTAATACAACTGCAATAAAGTAAGTCAAAAAATTAAGGAAAAATTTTAGTCACACCTTCTAGTTTATCATATTTGTAAGAATAGTCCCTTTTTTTTTTTAATCTTCACTGACACCCCTGTTAGATTAAAGATGTTAATTAGAATGTAATTTTTTGTGTGATAAATTTTAGGAAAAATTTCATTCATATCCCCTTTAGATAGACATATTTTTAATAAAACTCCTTTTATTTTTTAATTTTTTTATGTATTAAAATTCAGGACGATTTGAGTCAATCAAAATCAAATTTGAGTCGGTTAAAAATAATATTTTTTTACGTATAAAAATTTGAACCCATTAAAATTCCATTTGAATCGATCTGCTCGAATCAAATTTTAATAACCTCCTATTAAATTTTAATCGCTCAGAATTTTGATACATAATACAATATAAATTTTAATTGAGTTAAATTTTAATACGTAAAAAATGAATTTTAACTAATTTGAAACAAATTTTAATTGGCACGAATTTTAATAAATAAAAAGTATAAATTTTAATTGACTTGAAGCAAATTTTAGTAGGTACTAACAGTTCAAGTAGTGCTCAAATCGACTCAAATTTTAATACGTAAAAAAAAATTAATAGACTCTAATTTTAATATGTAAAAGAAATAAAATTTATCAGCTCAAATCAAATTTTAATTAGTTCAAATTTTAATATGTAGAAAAATGAATTTTAATTAGTTCAAATTTTAATATGTAAAAAAATGAATTTTAATCTAGTTAAATTTTAATCGAATTTTATGTTTAAAATATTATTTGGAGTTTTATGTAAAAGCAATTTTGATATTTTAAATGAATTTTTTTTGTTAGAAATACTTTAATGGCAGGGGGTGCCAGTGATATTTAAATATAACTAGAAAGAGTGTGAGTGATATTTTGAATAATAAAGGGAGTGTCATTGAAGATAATGTAAATTAGAAGGATGTAGCTAAAATTTTTCCAAAAATTAAATATAAATAATATTTTTTGTAAGTTAAATATTTGTCTGGTTGCATCATGTTTAGTCCATAGCGCCTAATGATTCCCTTTGTCTTTTTTATTCAACCAAGAGTATTGATAGTGCTCGAAAATGTTAGCCCAAGTCTAAAACCAAAGAGATAGAGAGGAGATAGAGCAAGTATATGGAGTAGAAATGGATAAAAATAAAGAGTAAAGCCAAGATACTATGTGAGTGGTTCACCCTAGTTGAAAAACTAAGGTTAAGTTCATAGTAATGGAGTCTCTTGTTCTTTGGAGGGTGTATTTATTGCTTGAAAAAGATGATTACAATAGTTTGTTTGGCTTGGAGCCTGTAAAGAAAAATGCTTAGAGAATACAAGCTTTAACTGAGTTGACACCGAGAAAGATGGTGATTTTGTGTGTTCCATAGGGTAATAGTGTCATATTTATACTGGTGATTCCTCTAGGTTTCTTGTGGCTCCTTCCTCTTTTTTGTTGATTCTGTGAGTCCCTCTACTTTTGTCTTGTAGTGTCATCTGTCATATGACGCCACTGTATCCACGGTCCTTGAGCGGTTATGCGCATTAATATTCTCTGTGGTAGAGAGTGCGTGTTCATTATGGGTGTCAGAAGTGGTCCCTCTGTTCTCTAGACACATGGAGCAACGGGAGCAATTTGGGATTGACAAGGGGCCAAGCTCCTTGCTCCCGAGTTGACCTCCTGCTAGGCTGGATTGGGTTTGGAATGGACTTCAAGCCTTCAGGCGTTGTCGGGCTTCATCCTTTGGGCACAATCCATTCTAATCTTCAAGTGGATTGCCCATGGGTTAGCGATTTGGCCTATTCTACAAGTAGAGGCCTGTTGGCTTTTTGGTCAGGGCGGCCCATATCTAAAATCTCATCATTGTCAAGTACAATAAAAAAAAAGATGTGATTTAATGACCTCTATTAATTTTGAATTAAATTTGTCATACCAAGGTACCATTCTCATTGGTTTAATTCTCTTTCTCTCATAAATGCATTGTTGGAATCATAACTATCTAATTGAATCGATTGTCAATTTCTTTAATTTTAAAAACAGAACACACCATTGACATCAAAACCAACACTTGAATGACTTTATGTAGTATTCTTTTGTTTTTTTTTTTTAAGTTTGTTGGTTGGATTTCTTGGCCATAATTGTAACTTTTTATTGCTTTTTTTTTCTCCAACGATTTTTGATTCATCAATTTATCTGCGATGTAACAATATGTATCATTGCTCATGTTGTCATTTGAACTTTTGACTGATGTAAATTGTGCAGGTGTGCATGAGCGCAAACTATGCAATGATATTTGTCATACACCCATCTCTTTTTTAAGTTCCGACTACACCATAAAACCTTGGCCTATCCAATAGGCTTACTTTGTGAGTGACTGTAGGTATTTGAAATCCGCTTTATAATTAGAGACAATCTTATGGTATCTACAAAAAAAAAAAAAATTCAGTCACTTGTACTCTCTTTATACATAAACTAGTTATTTCTCGTGTCTGAATGCACAGAGTAATAAAAAAAATTATCAACAATAAACATATTTGTATTCACACTTAAAATCAAATCACAAATATAAATGAGAGATAAAGAAATTGAAGTATCAATTGTAATGGGGGTGAGCGATGTTAGTGGTGGTAGTGATGGTGAAAAATGGTGATGGTTGTGGTGGGTGGCGACAACTGTGGTAATGGTGGCAACCGTGAATGACAACGGTGATGGCAGTGATGGGTGTTGACGATGAAGATAGTTACAGTCATGGGTGACAGCGGTGGTGGTGGTGGGTGTGGGAGGTAGTGGACAACGATGATGGTGGTTGGCAGTAGTGGTGGTGGGACGACGATGGTGATGGTAGGTGGTGATGATGGTAGTGGTGGGCAACAATTGGTGCTTATAGGCGACAATGTGATGAATGGTGGCGAATGACAGCGGTGGTAAGTATGGTGGGGGTAGGCGATAGTGGGTGGCTGCAGTGGTGGGTGATGACGGGTGGTGGTGGTAGGTGTGGTGGGGGTGGGTGATAATGGATAGTGGGCGACAACAAGTGGTGGTGCGTTTGTGGTAATGGGTGACAGTGGGCAACAATGGTAATGGTGGGTGTTGATGATAAGCGACAGTGGTAGTGAAATGATGATAGTAATGGTAATAAATAGAAAAATAAGATGATGATGGTGGTAGGTGGTATCAATGGACAATGATGGTAGCAATC